GCACGCGATGAAGCAAGCCGCCAGGTCAGACATGCTGAATCTTTCCCGGTAAGACCGGTGCTACACAGTTTATTAGAGATGGGTTGATCGGGATATCAGAATTAGCCAGTAAGGGCTAGAGCTAATGGGCCAAGCAGTGTTTAAAAGAATACAGTGTCCGTGTAATTATTTTGGGGCATAAGCTAGCAGGCAGCCGGGGTGCTGGGGACGCAGCCCCGCCGCTCCTATTACAACAGAATGGCGCCCAGACGTGTGGACAGCTGAATCCACTGAAAGCCTGAGAAAGCTTGGGAAAGAGTAAAGCATGTTTTCTTGGTAGCAACAATTTCTCGGATCTACTCTACTTGCTAGAGGCAAGCAAGCACTCTCATCTAAAAGAGGCTTCCTGACTCAGCTTTAGCTGCAAAACCCTGTAGCTCATTAAGAGGTCCTGCCACGAAACACTTAAACGGTGTTGACGAAAAATGAACGCATGCTTTTCGGTTTTCAGCCATAGCAGGAAAAAAGCTGCGCCGTTTAAAAATGCTGGCTTTCTGGGCTGTCCTGCCAGGGCAAACTCTGACTCTTTTACGCAGGCGGTTCGTGCGGTTTGCAAGCACAGGCTGCTGAAGCTTGCTTGCTGGCAGGGACCTTGAAATGCCATAGAGTTGTGGCAGTAAACATGGCTACAGCCAGTACTTCAGCCATGAGGCTGGAAAGCTAAGGAATGGGCTGGATCTAGCTGCCAAAGCCACAGCTTTAATCCCACCCATATTGCTCAGAAATTTAAAGGCTCGTGTGGTCAGAAAAAGAGAGATATACAGTAAAGAGAGATTCAAAGACAAAGAAAATTTCTAAATGGTTTACTGTGTGTTAAAAATATATGCAGGCTAAAAGTTGAAGTTCTTAAAGTAAAAAAAAAAGGAAGAGAGTTGTTGGGTGTGGTAGTACACACCTTTAATCCCAACACTTGGAAGGCAGAGGGAGATTGACCTCTGTGACTTCTAGGTGTGGTAGCAAACGCCTTTAATCCCAATACCTGGGAGGCAGAGACAGGCGGATCTCTGAGAGTTCAAGGACAGCCTGGTCTACAGAGTTATTCCAGGTCGAAGATACAGAGAACCTGTCTCAAAAAGCAAAAAATAAAAATAAACAAAATAGAAGTTAAAATAAAACGCACAAAGATGGAAAATACACAGAGAATTTTGATACTGTATGCTATTATGCTCTGTTTGAATTGTTTGAATGCTGAGAAAAGAGCAACAGCTGCTAAAAGATATTTGTTTATAAATGCTGCTGAACTAATCTAACATAGATATTTTAAAAATGCCTTGACTTCGAAATTTGGATCTAAGGACATGATGCTTTGGAAAGGAGTTTCTTATTTTGTTTTCATAGAGGGTGAGAGTCTGTGGATTGCTTCTATCCTAATATGGTATGATGGACCACGCCCTCCTGAAGGGTTGCTGTGAAAACCTTCAAAAAATTACTTCACTCAACTGCTGACTGAGATGAATCTAGCACACAGGTTATACCCTGAAATACCTGATTAACAGCGCCCCCATACAGCAGGAAGCAGTTTGGAGAGAAAAAACTGTGCCCATATGCCCAAATATTGTTTATAAATGTTCTTTTACATTTAAAGGGGGAGATGATATAGATGTGAATAATTTGCACTGATATGAATCTTGGTTTACTGATATTAATTTAAGGTCAATTTTATTATATGTATATGTGTTTCTGATCTTGATTAAGGTATTGTGATTGTGTAGTTCATTTAAAAATGTAATGTATATAGGTTGTTAATGGATAATCATTAATAATAGTCAAGTTTGGAGTCATGTTAGTTAGATTTTCTAGATGTTCATGGATATATTTCAGATAGGCATTCTTCATATCTTTCAAAGGCTAGAGAATTTGGCATTTTAAATGTTTTAATAGCTTAGGGTTTTTCATGACAATGAGACACTCTGCTCCTGGCAGCACCAATCTATTTCAAGAGGAAGATAGGCATAGAAGAGGATCCTTATGGAGTTTGATAGCCATTTGGGCAAGAAACTGCTCTAGCCTGGACTATTGCATAAACTGGACACAGAGAACCCGCAGAGAGAGGACTGCTGAACTTGCCTAAAGGTGAGATGATCTTTCGGGGTTCCTGATTCATGAAAGAGTCTATGAGACATTCTGCAGGACACAACAGATAGTGACTGAACTGACTTTGAAATTTCCTGCTTCATGGAAATGTCTCTGGATACTATGGGCCTGAAGGCTGAAGATGGATACCCCAATGGTACAAAGGAACTTTGGGTGATTGTCCAGGCAGCGAGATGTCTCTGTCATTTCTAGAGTTTGAAAGTTGCGTATTTCTTGTTTGCTTAGGTAATATTGTATCTTTCTGGAGTCTTTGATGGAGTTGAAGAATAGTTAGTTATAGTTTTCCTTAGTTATGATAAAGATAAAATAGATGTAAATATTGTAATTTTTACTTGATAACCATTTTGTTATATGTAATTTTGCTATGTTAAAGTTAAAGCCTTCCTTTTTTTGTTTAAACAGAAAAAGGGGAAATGATGGAGGAAGGTCATTGGTTAAAAAATAAAGAAACTGCTTGGCTGGCCCTCATAGGTTAAAACATAGGTGGGAGGAGTAAACAGAACAGAATGCTGGGAGGAAGAGGAAGTGAGCTCAGAGGCCATGCTCCCCTCTCCCGGGCAGATGCACGCGATGAAGCAAGCCGCCAGGTCAGACATGCTGAATCTTTCCCGATAAGACAGTGCTACACAGTTTATTAGAGATGGGTTGATCGGGGTATCAGAATTAGCCAGTAAGGGCTAGAGCTAATGGGCCAAGCAGTGTTTAAAAGAATACAGTGTCCGTGTAATTATTTTGGGGCATAAGCTAGCAGGTGGCCGGGGTGCTGGGGACTCAGCCCCGCCGCTCCTATTACAACATTCTTCTGGTTTCATAGACACAGCACGTACAAACACAGACATGTACACACATGCTTGAAAATAAATCTTCTAAAAAATGCTTCATCTAAAAAGATGTGGGGCTGGAGAGATGGCTCAGCAGTTGGGAGCACAGGCTGTTCTTCCAGAGGACCCAGGTTCAATTCCCAGCACCCACATGACAGCTAACAACTGTCTGTAACTCCAGTTTCTGGGGATCCAGATACCTTCACGACAATCCACATAAAATAAAGTTAAATAAATTATAAAAAAAAAAGATGGCAAGAAAAGAAAATGAAAATCAAGACCAGAACAAACAGCGGAATGTAGTTAATCACCACAAATGCCTATGAGCTACATCCCTGTATTGGCGTGAATAAACGCAGGCAAATATTAAAGAATATATACAAATTTAATGATTAAATAAAACTTACAGAACCGAGGTTCCCTCGTAGCACAGAGGTAGGAAAGAAAAGGGAGGAGCCGCCTCCCGCGTGCCCACTTATCGGTACGCATTCACCCGAGGCAAACCCGCCTCCTAAAGGGGCTGGCTTAACCCTACATCTCCCCCTTTTGTCTAAATAAGACAGAAGTAAACCAAATATAACTATAAACAATAATAACAAATGATAAATATAACAAACAATATTGAGAACAAAAGTTTTGCTAGACATTCTATCTCAAGGAGTCTAAATAATGTAGAGAGTAACTACAATTAAATAATCTTCAACTCCATCAAAAATCTGAGAAGGGAATAAATATTACTTAACAAATGAGAGATATCCAAAATGTGCAACAAATGACAGAGACAACTGACTACCTGGAAAATCACCCAAAGTCTCCTTTGCAATGTTGAATCAACCAACTTTGGCTAAGGCCTAACATCAAATGCAAGGAACTTTCTTAGAATTATCCTACCCTGTCTTGGCAAGATAAGACAATCCTGTTTCATATCTTAGTTAGTAGTTGAGGTATGGGATTTTCTTAACCCAAAGGCCAGTTCTGCCAAGAAGACAAGCTCCCAGTGGAGTGTCTTTGGTGCTCAACGTTCTCTCGGGAGTAGAGTGGTGTTGCCAGGAGTAATTGTGTCTCGTTGGCACAGAATTCTAGGTTAGATTAAAGGCCATTTTCTACAGATCTTCAAAGAGGCTGAAGATTATACTATCTATACTAAAAATAATCTCTATGTATCTAAAAGACCTGATTAACCTAAAAATAAATATGACAAACATAAAATTCTCAATACCTATCTAATTTGAAAACTAAGAGAATAAACAACTGTGCAAAATATGAAGACAATGATCTTCACCTGTAAACAATGTCTTTACATATCAAATGTAAACAATGTTATTACATAAATAGTATCAGAGGTAGAAATGTACATTGTGATATGGTAGATGTATCAATACAATATAAGCATACTCTTATACAAAAAGAGAGGTAGGAACACTCACATTCAATATTCAATATATCAATATACAAGAAACAGTACCAATATAATTTTCTAAAAACAGTAAGTCACAAATACCAATCATCCCATCAAACCAGTTAATCCCCCCCCTTTTTTTTAATATACCCCTAATTCCATACAATATCTCCCCATCCCCTCAACCCTAAACCAACCACTAAAAGATGTCCCTAACCCTGTGGGCAAACTCTGTTGGGAGAAGGGACATCGTCCTCTTAGATTGCTTCTAGCTGACATGGGGGCGACGTTCTTCTTAGGGGCCCCTGTGAAAGCAAATGATGGTAAAATTCCCAAATTAACCTTTGACCTAAGAAATTATAACTAGTCTCTGAGCGTTTTGAGAAGGTCCGGCCAGAATGTTGTCAAAAATGTGCATCATTCGAAATTGTCTCCTGCAGTTGGTACCAAAAAACAGGTCTAATATTAGCGCTTAAAAAAAAAATTCATGACGTCATAAAAACCAGATTGAGTTGATGTTGTGGGGTCCCATCTTCATCCTGGAAACTTCAAAGATTACTGTAGGAAAATTTGTTGCTTGTTATGGGAAATTTAAACATTAACAACAAGGACATATACTGACATATAAAGAAAGACACAGATATGAGGAAAGGCAAAGAAAGTTTATCAAGTGTAAAATTATTCTTATTCTGTCCCATTTCATGGCTCCTGACCTGAGACAGAAACTCTGAAATAACTCTTATCAACAGGATTGGAATTGAAGAGGGACTGAGCCATAGTCCAACTCCAAAACCAGCTCTACACATTTATAAAGAAGTGTTCAATAAAACATATAAATATATATAAAAATCAATACTTACAGTATGTATAGAATCTTATTGTTGATACTTAGTGGGTCATAACTATTTTCCATCCATCAGTAATTAAATATTCAGGGTCCCTTACATTCTTTGAAGATGAGTATTTTCCTGTGGAGATAAGAAAAGAACCCTGCCCCCAACCTATCTGTAAACCTTACCCTCAGTATGCTCGCCATCCTTGTGAATGAATTGTTATTTATCTTTTCCAAGTGACTTCTCTTCTTCAAACTGAACCTTTATTAATTTCGACAGTATCCATAATTTTTCCTCACCTGTGGAGATAAGAGCAAAACCCCTTCCCCAACACAGCACATCTCCTGGCTTCCATTGTGAGGTCAGCACATCCTTGAAATAAACTGGTTGATTTAGTTCAGCAGACTTTTCCATTATCCAATGTCTTTCTGCAGCCGTCGTTCCCTTCTCATTAGCATTGAGAAAATTCAAGGTTAACAAAGCATTATGTAACCTATTTCTGGGGGTGTTTTCCACCCCTTTCCGTTTGTTCAACATATCCTTTATAGTTCGATTTGATCTTTCTATGACTGCTTGACCTGTAGGATTGTATGGTATACCTGTAACATGCTTGATATTGTAATAATCAAAAAACCGTTTCATTTTCCTAGAGACATAAGCAGGACCATTATCTGTCTTTATTTGTGTAGGTATACCCATGATAGCCATGACTTCTAATAAATGAGTGATTACTGAATCAGCTTTTTCTGAACTTAAAGCAGTTGCCCACTGAAAGCCTGAATAAGTGTCAATGGTATGATGAACATACTTCAATTTGCCAAATTCTGCAAAGTGGAACACATCCATCTGCCAGATTTCATTCCTATGAGTGCCCTTCGGATTAGCCCCTGCTGGCAGTGGTGTTTGGTTATAGAAAGAGCAGGTAGGGCATTTCTTCACAATCTCCTTAGCTTGTTGCCATGTAATAGAAAACTCTTTCTTCAAACCTTTGCTATTAACATGATGTTTTTTATGAAATTCAGAGGCTTGTAGCACACTACCAATCAATAATTGATCAATTTCTGCATTACCTTGTGCTAGAGGACCTGACAGACCCATATGGGATTGGATGTGTGTTATGTACATAGGACAAAGCCTGTTCCTGATCAAATCTTGAACCTGGATAAACAATGAGGTTAGTTCTGTATCATCAGGTATAAATTCAGCAGTTTCAATATGTAAAATAACTCTTTCTGCGTATTGTGAATCAGTAACTATATTAATAGGTTCTTTAAAATCTCTTAGTACCATAAGAATGGCATATAATTCTGCCTTCTGGACAGAATCATAAGGACTTTGTTCCATCTTACCCAAGTCTTCTGATTTGTAACCTGCCTTCCCTGATTTATTGGCATCAGTATAGAATGTACGGGCTCCAGTTATTGGAGCATCACGGACGATTCGAGGAAGGATCCAAGAAGTTCTCTTTATGAAGTTAAGCCGCTTGCTTTTTGGATAGTTGTTATTAATGTCTCCCAAAAAATTAGCACAAGCTCTTTGCCATGCTTCATTATCTTCCCATAATTTCTTTAGTTCATCAGCAGTGAAAGGCACTATAATTTCTGCTGGGTCTATGCCTGCTAGTTGACGAAGTCTCAGCTTGCCTTTTATAATTAACTCAGAGACTTTTTCCACATAAGTTTTCAGTTTCTTACTTGGTTTATGTGGTAAAAAGATCCATTCCAAGATAATATCATCTCTCTGCATTAAAATTCCTGTAGGAGAAATTTTTGATGGTAATATGACGAGAATACAATTGAGCTCTGGATTCACTCTGTCCACATGTGCCTGTTGTAATTTCTCCTCAATCATTGTCAGTTGCTTTTCTGCTTCAGCTGTTAATTCTCTGGGACTGTTTAAATCTTTATCACCATCCAAGCTTTTGTTCAAATGAATTATTAGATCAGGTGTTATCCCAATAGCTGGTCGTAGACTGGAAATGTCTCCTAACAGTCTTTGAAAGTCATTAAGAGTCTGTAGGCGATCTCTCCGAATTTGTGCCTTTTGTGTCTTAATTTTTTTGCAAACCTATTCTATAACCTAAATAATTAACAGAATCTCCCTTCTGAATCTTTTCAGGAGCAATTTGCAATCCCCATTTGGGTAAAAGTATCTGTATTTCTTCAAACAGTCTGTTCAAGGTATCTATGTTTGAATCGGATAACAAAATGTCATCCATGTTATGGTATACTATAGATTTGGGAAATTTCTTGCATATTATTTGCAATGATTGTTTCACAAAATATTGGCACAGGGAGGGGCTATTTAACATACCCTGGGGGAGGACGGCCCAATGGTACCTCCTCAAAGGTTGAGAATTGTTATAAGTAGGCACTGTGAAGGCAAATTTTTCTCTATCTTCTTTTTGCAAAGGTATAGTGAAAAAACAATCCTTTAAATCAATAACTATGAGAGGCCATCCTTTTGGTAATAAAGAGGGCAAAGGAATTCCAGATTACAGAGGGCCCATAGGTTGAATAACCTTGTTGATGGCCCTGAGATCTGTCACCATTCTCCATTTACCTGATTTTTTCTTAACCACAAATACAGGAGAATTCCAAGGGCTGGTAGATTCTTCTATATGTCCAGCATCTAATTGTTCTTGTACCAGCTATTGTAAAGCCTGTAACTTTTCCTCAGCTAAAGGCCATTGCTTTGTCCATATTGGTTTCTCAGTCAACCATTTTAGAGGCAAGGCTGTTGGTATCTCTGAAGGGACATCAATTGCTTGTTCTTGTACAGCCCTAATGGCTGGTTTTCTCCGTTTGTAATATCTTTTAATATTATTCTCAGAAATATAGGCTCTAGAAGTAGCAGGAATGTTAATTTGGGTATTCCATTGTTGTAATAGGTCACGACCCCATAAATTCATTGCGATATTGGCTACATATGGCCTTAATTTTCCTATTTGTCCCTCTGGCCCTATACATTCAACCCATCTCATGCTCTGCCTTACTCGAGATAGGGTTCCAATTCCCAGGAGCTGAACATTTACATTCTGAAGAGGCCAATATGGATGCCAAGATTCTGGGGTAATGATACTTACATCAGCACCTTTGTGTCCAGCAGGCCAGTAATAAAAATGCCATTTATACACACTCTCAGCTTAGGTCTTTGATCATTTGTAGAAGTTTGCCAAAACGCACGTAACTCATCTTTCTGATCACTATTGCTTGTAACAGTAGGCATGTGGCTTCCTAATTGTCCTGATGAGGCATGTTCTCTGTAGAAACTGGAAATGACTGAACTATGTTTGCCATGGGGGCCTGTGAGGCCCCCCCTCTCACGTTTCCCATCTGTATCAGATTGCCTTGTCTATCTCTTGTAGACCTGCATTCATTCGTCCAGTGTCTGCCTTTTCCACATCTTCTACATAAACCTGAAGGCTGAGTCCTTCTATTTCTGTTATTTCTAGAAGATGCATTATTATTATTTCTGAAAATCCGTTGTTTACAATTCCTTTTCATATGACCCGTTTTGCCACAATTAAAACATTTGGTATTCTGGTGTCTCCTTTTACCATTGGAAATTGCTTCTTCTACCCATGCTTCAGTGCCATAGTCAAATGTGTCAACATTCAGTGTATGCAAGACCCATTCTTCCAAGGGCGCTGATCTGAACTTTAAAGGCCCCAAGATCTTTTTTGCATTCCACATTTGCATTTTCGTAAGCCAAAGACTCAATCATTATACGTCTTGCTTCTGGGTCAGATATCCCTATTTGTACAGCCTTAGTTAGTCTTTGCAAAAAGTCACTAAAGGTTTCTCTCTGACTCTGTTTAACTCTGACAAATGATTCCATTCTCTGTCCTGGGTCTTGTACCCTGTCCCAAGCCCTTAAGGCTGCTGTAGTACACATGGAGAGTGTGTTTTCATCCAAATTAGCTTGTTCTTGAGGGTCAGAAAAGAGCCCTTCACCTAGAATTTTATCTAGGGAAATGTCAATTCCCTTCACCTTTTCCTGCTGTTCTAAAAGTCTAGCTTCTTGCCTGAATAAGCATTTCCATTTCAATTGCGGTCCACTCTCAAGGACCACGGAGCTCAGCTGGAGCCAGTCCGAGGGGGTTGCTCTGCTTGTTGTGGCCCAAGATTTTAGCATCTCTTTAACAAAAGAGGCATGCATCCCAAAAGTCATGACAGCCTGTTTAATTTCTTTGAGATCATTCATAAGGAAAGGCTCCCATGTATCTTCCTTGATGACCCTAGGGTTTCTGGAACCAGTCACCTTTTCTGTTGTTATTACTGGAAAGGCAAGTAGAGCTGTAGGTAGAGCTTTGTGGAAATTGTCCCAGAGGGATTTATCCACAGATGTAGTTAAAATTTGCCTTTCTACCCTTTGCTCTTCTTCATCAGAATTTAGAAATTCCTCAATCTTTTCAATTCTATTCACCATCTCCTGTCCAGAATTATGTTCCAAAGCCTTCATTGAGGATTCTAAAGTATGAAATTTGTCCACTAGAGATAACTTGTCATCTTTGGACATAATTTTTATGGCATAAACTGTGCCTTCTTATATTGATAATCTTTCCGCCAAACTGTCATAAGCTTTAGACAAAATTCGATTGTCACATTCAGCAGTTTTGATTCTCTCAGTTAATGTTTCAGTTCCTACAGAAAGGGACTGCTGGAACTTACGATTTAATTCAGCTGTTCCTTCTTCCATAGTAATGAATTTCTCCTTAACATCAGCCTGTACCTTTTCTAAATTTTGCTCAGTTAACTGAGTCATGTTAAACAAAGATCTGTTTTCTTCCTGGAGAACTTCAAACTGATTCTTGAGAAGATTGTTGTCATTCTCAATAGTTTTCAAACTTTCAACCTCTGCCTTAAGAGATTTTATCATTTTCCTATTATCAAACCAGATAGTGCTAAGGAAAATTAAGAATCCCAGAAATATCCATAGATGTGGAGTGATAGACACCTCTTGTAAAATCTCCCACATGGTACACTCAAAAAAGCTGTTGAAATCTGAAACAGTCACGTTCTCAGACATTTTATTTATAAAAGAAAAAATTCTTTTACCTGCAATGACCGGTTCCTGCCAGTGGTGGCGAAAGAGTCCACTTGAGTCCACGTGGCCTAAGTCTGAAATAAATGACTCAAAAACAAAATTGCAGCAGACACCAGGCTGATTAATAGCAATTGGGCCGGAAAAGGAACAGAGAGAAAGCCGCCAAAGTGAACAAATCAAAGGGACCGGTGTGTTTGAGCCGGCTCGCAGGGCCGCCGTCATGTGACCCGAGCGCAGGTGGAGGTGGGAGGGAAACAGAGACTGATCACGCTGTTACAGAGGCGCTTGTGCCACTGTCAGGCAGGGCGGGGCTGGGGAGTGCTACTCCTGTCCCCGTTTGACTTTTTAGCAGGCACCGGGAAAGATCGAGTCGCTCAGAATCTCAGCTGCGTCCGCAGCCGCAGTCGTAGTAGTTGGACCAGCAAAGGCGCAGTGCTGAAAGGGTACAGTCTGTGCGCCCAGGGAGACCTCCAGGGGGAGGAGCCACTGGGAGCAGTCGCCCCCAGGAGCCTCCGAGTTGGGGCGGGTATCCGCAAAGCCCCACGGGGCGGGCGCCAAATGTATTGGCGTGAATAAACGCAGGCAAATATTAAAGAATATATACAAATTTAATGATTAAATAAAACTTACAGAACCGAGGTTCCCTCGTAGCACAGGAGGTAGGAAAGAAAAGGGAGGAGCCGACTTCTGCATGGGCGCGCATGCGCCCATTTATCCATATGCATTCGCCCGAGGCAAATCCGCTTCCTAAAGGGGCTGGCTTAACCCTACACATCCCAGACAGAGGCACGCACCAGCCTTGTCAGATGCTGCAGCAGTGAGCCAGCCATAACTATTAAGATGTGGATAGGTGAAAGGGGAAGCAGAGGGCTTGGTGTCCCATGCTGACAGCACTTTCTATTATCAGACACGGTGGAGCATGACTATTCCCAACATTCAGGAGAATCAGAACTTCAGGGTTCTCCTCTGCTATATATTGAGTCCAAGATCAGCCTGGGCTACATGAGATCCTGCCTCAAAAGGAAGAGCATGCATAACGTACGATCACATTTATATAAAAGTAGAGAGTGCCAAGTGTCATGGGATGGATTGAGGAGTGAGGTCCGGGAAGTTGGATGTGGTGGGTGTGTTCACTGTCTTGTCTGAGGTGATGTTTCCCAGATGTGGATACATGCTCAGAGTGAGCTTGTGGTGCATCAGTGACACCTCACTAAAGGATCACACGTGTATGTGTGCACTTGTGTGCACGCGTCCAGGGAAACCATAAGCTCACACGCTTCTCCTCCCTCAGAGCAACCACAGGAGCCCAAGTGCGATCACGAGCCATGATTCCGAAGTCCACTTCAGCAGCACCAAGTCGTCTTCTGACAAGACAGGAGTTTTGCCTGACAGTAAAATCAAGAAGACAGAGGTGAGTATTTACAGTTTACCATGTCCTGACCACATGGCCATTATGTGAAGAGCACCCTTCCGTGTTTTGAGGACAACCCTGGGCAGGAATTCCATCTTCCGCTGACCTCACAGGCTGCTGTTGAGTAGAGGAAGTGAATAGCAGCAACCCTCATTTTCAGGGCCCTGCCAGCTGCCCAACACTTCCTAGGGATCAGCTCACTTAGAAGCCTCAGATGAACCTCTGGACTGGTTGTTACTTCTAGGAATGAAAAAGGTTACATCATTGCCTGTGGTCGCAGCCCCAGCAAGCTGTGGAGCTGGGGGCTTGTGCCTCAGCAGTTTGATTCTAGAATCTGTATCTGTCATTGTGAGCCGGACGGCTCCCACTCAGGAGTATGTAAAGGTCTGGCTAGGTCAGCGTGAGATGGGTGGGAAGCCATTGGAGGAGCACAGCCTTTAGCAGACTCTTTGGCTTCCCCGTTGACACACCAGTTGGGAAGCTCTCAGAAGCATCATGGTAAAGGATGGGAGGAGGGCTCGGGACCAAGGGGCTTCGGAGGGAAAGAGAAGGTGAGGGTGAGCTGCGAGCTTTGGCTTGCATGCCTAGGAGAATAAAGTTACGCTTTAGTATAATGTTGAAGACCAGACTCTTCAGAGCTGAGATTGGAGGGGGAAGTTACAGCTTGATTATGGCCATGCTTCAAGTGCCTGGTAAAACACGCAAGCGACCACAGCAGCAAGCAAGGGGCAGGGGTGAATTTTAGATGGAGACAGAAGCATGTGTGCTCCCACACGTATGTGACCGCTAACACTCTGGGGAGCGGGTGCTCAGCAGGGACAGTGCTGCAGCCAAGCCAACTGCCTGAGCTGCCCTAGTCCCACATGGTGGGAAGAGGCATGATTCCTACCAGGCGTCTTCTGGTCTCCACCCACGTGCACACAACTTTCCAGTAGGTGCTGGAACTGAGCTTGTTCCTTCAAAGATACAAATTGAGCTGTTGTTTGGTTGGTCGGTGTGGTTGTCTTAAACACTTCACTTTACCTAATTATTTGTTGATGCTTTTTATATTCATTTTGTGGTGCTGGCACTTGAACACAGGCCTAGTCCATGCTAGCAAGCACTCTGCCACTGAGCTATATTATATAGGGGTGGGTGTAACATGAATTCTAATTGGCCCTAATAAATAAAACCAGAGTCAGATATTAGGTGGTGAAAGCTGAAGGATCAGAAAAGGGTGCGGCCAGCCACTAGAAAGATCTTTCACCTCTACCAATGCTCATATCGAAGGGGCAATCCTGTCCTCAAACTGCACTGAGCTCTTGTCTCCTCCCGCCTTATACTCCTCTCTCCACCCAACCATATCACTCCTGTCTCCCTAGTGCTGGGATTAAAGGTGTGTGTCACCATCACCTGGCCTCTAGTGGTTTAACTCTGCACTCTGATCTTCAGGCAAGCTTTATTTGTTAAAATACAAACAAAACATCACTACAGGTGAGTAGGTATGTTTGATTTACTCAAGAAGGTCTGTCCCAGGGTGGCCTCAAGTTCCCTATGTGAGAAAGGATGGTTGTGAACTCATGGTCTTTCTGCCTCTACCTCCCAAATAAATGCTTAGAGTCCAGGCATGTACCACCACACCTGCCCAAACTGAAAGTTTTTAATTTATTTTTATGTGTATGAGTATTTCACCTGCATGTGTGTTTGTATGTTCTCGGTGCCTACACAAGCCAGAAGAGGGAACTGGAGTCCTAGGTCTGGAGTTATAGATGTTATGAGCACCAAGTGTGTGCTCAGTCCTTTGAAAGACTCACAAGTGCTGTTCTATCTCTCCAACCCCCACCCCAAAATGCACTATTTTAAAGTTATGTGTGTGTGCACTTGTGAGTGTGGGTGCCCACGGAAGGCCAGAAGAGAGTGCTGGATGTCCTGTAGCTAATATGATGTTCAGAACTAAATTCAGATCCTCCACAAGAGCCGCAAGTGCTCCTGACCTTTGGGTCAGCTCTCTGACTCCAAACCACAATATTTTATTCAGTGAAAAAAACAGCCAAATTAGCTCCTTGTCCCTCACCATGTGATGCCCAGGCCATCTTAAGACTCTGTCAACAAGCAGACTATTGCCAGGTTGAACCTTGACCTTGGTATAGAGCCCAAGCCCAAATAAGATATTTTATAATTTCAGAAACAAAAGATGAAGCAGGTGTGGTGATACGCACATTTAACTCCAGTACCTGGGAGGCAGAGAGGAGTGGTCTGCACAGAGATTTCAAGGCCAGCCGGGGCTACACACTGAGATTTTGCCTCAAAAAAATAAAAGCTAAGTTAGCTCAACACAGCAACAAGATTAGCCTCACCCTAGCGTGGGCTGTCGTATTGAGTTGGAGAGAGCAAACAAAGGAGACTAAAACTCTACAGCTCTGCGAGTTGGTGCCTACCTGAAGCCCAGCTCTCTGCGAGCTGTGGCGGGAGGATTGCAAGTCTAGGGCTAGTCTGGAATGCCTCTAAACACAGCAGAAGCAAATAGGAAGAGCCTCTCAATAGTCCCCTGAATATGTACAACATAGAAGACTGGTTTTAGTGTATAATGCTGCAGAATAACTTTTTCCTAGTTTTTCTGTCTTTCTTTCTTTTTTTTTTTTTAAAGCCCAAGCTCAAGAAATCCCTAAGTGAGGACAAAGACAAAGACTCCAAAATGAACCTCAAGAACCAAGGAAGAGGGCTGGTGTTTATGTCCCCGCAGGGTGAGTGCTGCAACCGAGCACATTGCGCTCACTACCCATTGCTCCCGGTTGCACCATTATGGCAGCTTCTGGCTCGGGGGGGGCGGGGGGGGGGGCAGGGAATGGCAGCTTCTGGCTCTGGGGGCGGGCAGGGAATAGCAGCTTCTGGCTCTGGGGGTCAGGGGACAATACTCAGGATTGAACCTTGAGCTTCACGTGAACTGGACACATACTCTAACACAAGCTACAGTGCCAGCTCTATGGTTCTGGTTCGGCTCCCTCCTGGCCTCCTCAGGCCTGAGAAGCTCCCTCTTAGCCCAGGGCTGCACTGCTGGCTACACCACAGCGGTCAGCTTGTCTCCCTAGACACAGTCTCACCCCATTCCCGCTCTGAGACAGAGTTCAACTGTGCAGCCCAGGCTGGCCTCAGACTCACAGAGAGCCACCTGCTTCTGCCTCCTGAGTGCTCTGATTAAGGTTGTTCACCCCCACAGCCTCCTGCACCCTCTTTAAAATGTACTTATTGAGAGTTGGTTTTGTGTACCCCAGGCTGGTCTCTAACCTTATAGCTAGCTAAGGATGACTTTGAATTTCTGACCCTTCTTCCTCCTCCATCTCTCAATTCCTAGGCTAAGAGGCATATGCCACTATACCTGTTTTATGTGGCACTGAGGATCAAACTCAGGGCTTCGTGCATGCTGGACAAGCACTCTTGGGGGCTTCCAGCCTCCTCCTCCCTAGCTCTGTTGTGTGGACACAGCTCTGAGGATTTTCTTCCACTGTGTCCTTGAGCCACACAGCTGCCTCTAGCCTAGGTCCCATGGCACTGCAGGCCCTGCGGTCCCTCCCTTCCTGACTGTACTCTGTAGCAGACTGCACACCGCATGGAACTCTCTTATGGCTCTGTTCTCTTGGTTTATGGCTTTGCATATGTGGAGATCAGGCTGTCTCTTCCTTCATCAATGACTCATTCCCAGCCATGTGCACACACGCATCTCCCCTGCTACAAGTCACACGTGCTCTCTTTTGTCCAGTAAGTGTTTCCCCCAGACTCAGGTGCTGCCTCTGTGTTTGCTGATGCAAGGCTGCCCCGTCTCCTCCCGTGCTCTCCCTTAGGTCACGGCTGCTCACCTGCTGCTGGCCCTCATGGTGGCTGTTCTGTGCCTCCATCAAGCCTGTGTTCGGGACGGAGCAGCCTCCAGAAATCTGCCCTCTGGGCATCACCCCCTCTTTGTTTCCTTTGTCTTTGGGATGAACCAGAAAGGCCAGCAAACGTTTCTCCTATGGTGGTCACCATCCTCTCTGAGGACTATACCTAGTGAGAACCTTTCCCAGACCAAGAAACAGTTCCAGAACAGAAAGTTCTAAAGGGAAACCTAATTAATGCCTTTTTAAAAATTTTGTCTTGTGTCTATCTTGTGTATGTAGGCCTGAGTGTTTCACAGTGTGTGTGGAGGTCAGGATGACTTATCTCTCTCCTTCCGTGTAGGTTCCAGGGATTAATCGGAAGTTGTCTGGCTAGGTGGCAAGCATCTTTGCCCTCGTCATATCTACTTTGGTTTTTCGTCTTTGAAACAGTGTCTCTGCTCTGTACTGCTATAGTACTTGCTGGCAACTGGTCTTCAGCTCTAGCTGTGTCTTGGTTTGCCCTGCACCTCTGCCCACTGTGTGCCGGCTCCTGTATGGCTACTGGTTTGTCTGCTGTCAAAGCAGTCTCTTGGCCCACATAATTCCACTTCATCTGATGACCTCATTTGCATGTTTGTGACTAATGTTTGCGAGCTAGGCTTCTCAGTTGAGTGGGAATATAAGAAGCAATAATTCTTCATTTTCAGACTTGTTTTGACTTTAGTAATTTGATAATTCCATTCTCTGCATTATCTTTTAGTTTTTGCCACTCTTGGGATGGGATCAAGCTGTCATGTGAGCTAGCAAATGCCTACTATTGCACTGAGCCATAAGCCCAGCACCAACTCTTTAAATTTTAAAATTTGCCAACTGACAAGTTAGGATTGTTTCAAAGCTATGAAAGTGATCAGGTATGGCGGGGCACACCTGTGGTCTCGGCACTCGGTAGATGTGGGCAGGAGAACCAGGACTTCACAGTCCTTTGCAGTACCACGCTGAGTTTGCAACCAGCCTGGCCTACACAACCATCTCAACCCCACACTAAAAAGACCAGAAAAATTATGATGATCGGAAAGAATCAGATATTATTTTAGAAAGAAAGGGAAGAAAGATGTCTGGTCCTGGGAAGCGTTTGGTTTGCGGTTCTCTAGAAGCCAGAGCTCACTTGGAAACAAAGCTGTTCCTATCTTAGTGACACTCAGGCTCTGAATAAGCGGGAACCAGATGGTATCGTGGACTTGTCCCAGATATCTAAATGCCAGTCTGGCTGAGAATGGAGGTGCCACTAGAGAGCCTCTCGCAGTTCTGCCTGTCCAGCCCGCTCACTTCATGAGGGCTGAGGAGTACTGTCTGGGAATCTGATTTCTTCTCACATGTTTTACATGTCTAACTTGATAGGTCTTCATTTCAATAGATGATACAAAAAAATGGCATTCATGTTGTCAAAAGAATGCATTGTTATTCTTGAGTAACACAATAATTTCATAAATATGAAACTTACTAAGTTGTAACCTGAAGTATGCATTTGCATTTGGTGCAAACTCAGGTCTGGAAAGTTTTTGGAAAGTCTCAAAAGTGAATGTGAAAAGTGATCCGGCCACACGTTGATGAAGACATTCTTACCAAAGAGCAGGGGAGCGGCAGGGAGAGCTCCTGGGTTAAAAGCACACATCTCAGGATTGGAGAGATGGCTCAATGGTGAAGAACACTTATTGCGGTTACAGAGGATCCGAGTTCAATTCCCAGCATCCACGTGGTGGTTCACAGTCACCTGTAACTCCAGCCCCAGGGACGCAAAGCCCTCTTCAGACCTCTGTGGACACCACACACTCATGTGGTGCACATACGTTCAGATAAAACACTTACACATAAAACAAATAAATCTAATAGGAATTAAATCTTCTAAAAAAAAGTTTTAAAGCATATATTGCTCTGCCAGAGGACCAGAGTAGAGTTCCACAAACAGCTGCCTGTAACTCCAGCTCCAGGGATTGTTACACCCAATTCTGTACGCTGCAGGCCCCTCACATGTACACACACCCCTCCCCCGTATAGATCGTGTGTGTGTATGTGTGTGTTTGGCATGATGATACATACCTTTAATACCACAGCACTTGGGAGGCAGAGGCAGGCAGATCCCTGTGAGTTTAAGGCCAGCCTGGTCTACAGAGTGAGTTCCAGACCAGCCAGCGCTACACAGTAAAACTCAATCTCAAACAAAACAAAATAAACAACAACAACACATTTCTGCTGTTCAAGAAAAAGAAAGACGCGGGAGGTGGCAGAAAAGCAGGACTGACAGTCGCCCTGGGCCGCTGTGCACTTGACTTGCTCCTCCCAGCTATTGCAGATGCGTTCTGCAGTTTCCTTGGTGCCATGGCTCTGCATCGGCACACATCCTAATGTCTATATTAACTCACTCCATTGCAGAGAAATATGAAAAACCCAAAGATGAACAGAAAGAGAAACTCAACATATGGGTGAACAACCTCTATGTCTTCTTTGTGAGTGTGCTTTTCAGCGCCTACAAACGTGAGGAGATGCTCAAGGGGAAGATAAAGGAGAACCGGCTGGAGCAAGCAGCACTGGCTCAGCAGAGGCAGATAGAGGATGAAGAGCTGGAAGCCAGGTAGGACATGGTCCCGCCTGTCCTCCATAGGGCGTGCTCGGGTTTCTTTCAAGTCTCAGGAGCTACTCAAGGCAGTACCACAGGCTTACAGTGAGACATAGTATTCTAGGACCACAGGCTTACAGTGAGACACAGTATCCCAGGACCACAGGCTTACAGTGAGACACAGTATCCCAGGACCACAGGCTTACAGTGAGACACACAGTATCCCAGGACCACAGGCTTACAGTGAGACACAGTATCCCAGGACCACAGGCTTACAGTAAAGCACACTATCCTTGGACCACAGGTTGACTGTGAAACTTACAATGCCCCAGTCTCCAATGGCACAAAAGGGAAAGACCTGGGGGCTGGAGATGTAGCTCAGTGGTAGACGCTTACCTAATACGTGAGGCTTGAGTTTGGTCCCTAGCACTGGGAAAATATTTTTAAAAAAGACATCTGCTCTTCCCAGAGCTTTGAAAACTTTTGTGTATTGTGCAGCTGAGTATGATGAAGCCTACAAGCTCAGTACTCAGGTGGGACAGGAGATATCATGACCTCATCAACAGGCTGCTTTCTAGCTGCTCAGCTATCAGAGCCCAGAAGAACAGCTTCCAGACTGCGGACAGGGCTGAGGGAAAGTCCACAGCACAGTGCAAACTGAGACCTTTTTATCTGAGGGGATTATGGGGAAAGATACTCACACACTTTCCTGATGGATTCCTTCTTTACTCTCTCAAGTTGTTCTCACGATCTTTCTCCGTTCTTTGCAGCTTAAAATACCCAGCAAAAACTTTCAGGCAGTATAGGAGTCACATTTTAAGGTCACATTTCATTTCTTAAGTAAATGATGATGATGATGATGATGATAATAATAATAATAATAATAATAATAATAATAATGTCACCCTGACAACTCACATGCAATAAGTCTAAGTAACTTGTTTCAGAGCGAGGAACGAACACTTTTTCTCAGTCAGCTGCACAGAAAGAATCAGTCATTTTGTTATCTATCTAGAGAAGTCTATAAAGGTTCAAAGGAGCTATAACACTAGACCAGCAAGGCATCTAAGAAAAATAAGGAATTGTGTACTGTGTCCCATACGTCTGAGGCTTCCTCTGAGCAATTTCAGGACCCAACATAAGCGGCTGAGCACTGCGTCTTCAGGTTACACATCTGTATCATAGAACTGAGGTTAGGAATTTGTGCAGAGAATTAATCACTGTCCCGGGTTATTGGCAGACCTAGCAAGAGAGACTGGCACAGCAGTTAGGCAGCTTTGCACCTTTAGTCTTAGGTCAACAACAGCTGGCTATTATGTCCTTGTGAGCTGGGAATAATTTATCTTTAAAACCATTAGCAAGGTACCTGGTCTAGTCTAAAGCTACTTTGAAGATAGGGCACAACTGTCCTGGCAATGGGACTATGTAGCATTGCTTTGTATTCATTTTTATTAAATATTAAAACTGTAGAAGGTAAGATTCTTGATATCAATTAGACAGTACAGCTTAAGAAGGAGTCACCTTCTAGACAATCCACAAATGCCCAGTAGATCGGGATGTATCTATGAGATAAACACACTACAACACAGGCAGAGGGGAACTCCCCATAGCCACTAAGGGAAATCTGCATAGCAAATGTGAAGTTACAGACCGAAGCAAAAGATATTCCAGAGTCTACAGTTTCATTGCCTTTCCTTAGTGAGGTTTCCCATCAGAGGGTTTTCCTCCTGGTGGGCTGACGCCTTAAATATTGTCATCTGCTGTTCCTATGACATGGCTTTCGACATTTAGCTGCAGAGAAAAGCACCCCCTGGTCACATGATCATCATGAAAGTATTACCTGGAGCACTCTCAATACAATAGACCATTTTATTACAAGCACTGATGAAACAGCAGGAAAACTGGCTTTAGAGCTAGCTAGATAGTTTAGGGGATAAAGGTGTGTACTGCTCTAACAGAAGACCTGAGTTCAATGCCTAGCAACCACGTCAGGTGGCTCACAAGCACCTGCAATTTGTGCTCCAGGGGATCAGACACTTTTTGGACTCCAAAGGCGCCTTCACACGTGTGCACATAACCTCCCACGCCATGCACACAAGTAAACATAATTTTGCTTGTTTCTTGAGACAGAGTCTCACTGTATAGCTCTCTGATTGGTTTGGGACTCACTATATAGACCAGGCTGGCCTTGAACTCAGAAGGATACACCTGCCACTGTTCCCAAGTGCTGGGATTAAAGGTGTGCACCAACACATCCAGCTATCACATAATTTTTTAAAAAGTAAAAAAATAAATAACTAAAACTGGTTTCAGCCAGGCAGTGGTGGTGCACACCTTTAATTCCAGCACTTAGGAGGCAGAGGTGGGTGGATCTCTGTGATTTTGAGGCCAGCCTGGTCTACAGAGCTAGTTCCAGGACAGCAAACTGTTGCACAGAGAAACCCTGTCTCACAAGTGTCACAGAAAAAAAATAGCTAAGTTCCCATTTTGATTTTTAGGCTGAACATCCTACGGGAAGAAGAGGCCAAGAGACAAGACTTCGATATTGACATCACTGTGTTAAAGGAGCCATTGGAAGCTCCATCTTCGCTACCACTCACACCCAGCCCTCCTAAAGAGGACTTAGTTTCCACCCAGACCAGCAAGACCAGCCCTGGCAAGAAGAAGAAGAAGTAAAGGTACTGGGAGTCAAGGCTGAGCTGCAAGGACAGCAGACATATGAGCTCTGTGATGAGTGTCCCATAAAATAAAGGGTTTGAGCTTAGCTTCTGATAGAGTTTCTGAGGTGCTCTACTTGGGTCCACATGTGAAGTTTCTTGTATGGTTGCATTTGCAAAAACTAAACTAAATGACTATGCAGACATGCATATATTAGTAAATGTGTATTAAATATATTTTTGTAAATCAACGTTAGCTGAACCAAGAGGCCCATCCCAGCACTCAGGAGATACAGGCAGGAGACTGCTGCAAGATCAGGTCAGCCAGATGACATAGCAAGACCCTATCTCAAAGAAACAAAAATAGGGGTTAGAGAGCTCACTCGGTGCTTCAAAGCACGTGCTGCTTTTACAGAGGACCCAAGTTTGGTTCCCAGCACTCACAATGGGGCAGCTTTCGATAGTCTGTAACTGCAGCTCCAAGGGATCTGGAACCATCTTCTGGAATTTGTGGATATGAGAAACATGTACACACAAAAATAAATAAATGAATAAATAAAAACAAGGTAGTGAGTGATAGAAGACATCCAAGATCTATCCCTGGCTTCCATGTAAGCATACACAGGTAAGTAAGCATACCCATCCACATGTAGACACATGCATACCACACACACATGCACAGACATATACCCAAACACCATAAGCACACACACAAGGATGGAGAGAAATATAGGAAGATAGCAATGTTGACCTCTGACCTTCATACTCATACACTCGTATGTGCTTTGCACACCTGCACACACATTTGCATAAACATAAATACATACCCATGATTATAACCCACCCATACACACACAAATTAAGATAATGGCAAAGGAGTCAAGACCCAAAGGAAGTATTCCATATTTGAATCTACATATTAGCCCTGCAAAACTGACAGAGTTCCGGGGAAGATTACCATCTTGACCAGAGAAACAAAAAACCTGAAATTAGCAAAATAACAAAACAACTCAACTAGAAGTCCGAATTAATACACAGACTCTGGAGCCAGAATGCAACAGAGAATAAATGCTGACTGAAACAAACGTGTGCAACTCGAAATAACACGTCACAGACAACCATGATCTAATCGAGATGCAACCGCAATCTCTTCAGGGACACTCAGGAAAGCCTAGTGTGGTGGGGAACTAAAACCCACAGTCTCAGGCTATGCTTGGGCAGAGAAAACCAGTCATAATGGCAACTGTGAATTATTCTGAACCGAGGAACAATGAGGCCAGTACAAACTGATGAAGCTGCTTCCTCACCCCAAACACAGTAGGTTCATGGAGGTTATAAGCTGATTGCAGAGTTGCTTTGGGGGCTGGGAAAGATTATGTTTTTCAGACCACTCAAATTCAGCCATATTTCACCCCAGCTGTGCAGAGATGCAGGGTGTCATGGCTTTTAGGGGGGCCTCATGACAAAGCGGAACAGTTTCTGGCTAGACCACTCTGGGGTGATCAGTACCTCACTGTTCTGCTCTCATGAACAGGCAGACCCCAATGCTGAGCATCCCACACTGTCAGAATACTGACTGTTTTTTTTTTAAGACTTTTGCTTTTAACTGTATATGTGCACATATGTACATGTGAGTTCAGGTACCCCAGGAGACCGAAACCACCCTAGGACAGTGGTTCTCAATCTGTGGGTTGAATGACCCTTTCACAGGGGTCACACATCAGATATCCTGAATATAAATATTTACATTATGATTCATAACAACAGCACAATTACAGTGAGGGAGTAGCACTGAGAATAATCTTATGGTTGGGGTCACCACAACATGAAGAGTTGTACTAAAGGAGAGTGGCATTAGGACGCCTGGGAACCACTGTCCTAGAGCTTGAGTTACAGGAGGTTGGGAGCCACCCAGTATCGGTGCTGAGAATCAGACCAAAGTGCTCCACCAGAGCAGCCAGTGCTCCTAACAGCCAAGCTGTGGCTCTGGACCCTGACCATGAGCCCCACTGGCCAGTGCAGTCAAACAACCAGCAACAGAAGACTCAACAGGAAACCAGAATTTTTAAAAACTTTAACAATTTATTAGTCTTATTTCCCAGTAAAATATCCACATAATGTCAGAAGAATGGAATGATATTCAGCTGACTACCTTTAATTAATTCCACATAAATAATCAGCATCTAAAAACCTCAGGGAATCATCAGATCAAGTAGAAATTGATTTTTCAAAGCAGGTATTGCTTTACTCTCGTCACTAATCCAGTCAGTGTCATGACCAGTAAGTTGTAGCGGTAAACAAAAGGTTTGCTGAGGCTTTTAAAGAGGCCCCAGGGAGCCAGCGGGGTCAGTCCAAGAAGAAGATGTTGTTGAACTGTGTGGCGCAGAGTTTTTTCACCTCTTCTGCAAAAGAACAGAAAACGGTGTATCAAGGAACACAGCTTCTCTCCTTAAAGGTTAGATGTTTAGTCAGGACATTCGGTTCTTTGGGGATACAGTTAGGAAATAAGTAAGTCTGCACTAATGTTGACTTTAAATTCCAAAAGCCTAAGCAATAACAAGATTAGCCAACAGGAAGGCAGCCTGGGAAACAACTAACAAACTCCTAAGCACACTAGAAATACCACTTCTAGGGGTCAGGAAGAAGCAGTGTGAGGAGTGCCTGAGACACCCACAGTCGGGGCATTAGAAGGGTGGCGCTCTGTAGAAGCGGATGGGGTGCACAGAAACTCTGGCTACAACTAGGGATGTACAGCAAGTGCTTCACAGAGACCATGGCCTCGACTCTACTCCACCCCCACTTCACTTGGAGCCCAGAGCCTTGAGTTTGCCAGGCAAACTCTGGACCAGAGCTACATGCCCACTCCTCTAAATTCCTGTTTTTATTTCAGGCCTGCACTAACTGATGCTTTTCAGTACACAAATATTAACACAAACACAGATATAAAATGTCTTAAGGTTGGGCATGGTGAGGCTGCCTGTAATCACGTTCTTTAGGAGAAAGGCCAGAGGATGGTTTTTCAGTTCATCTTCAGACTGGTCTACATAGTAACTTTCAGGCCAGACAGACAGGAGATCTTGTCTCAAAAAAATAAAACAAAAACCCCCAAACAAATAGGCAAAAGTAAAGATGTAAGCCCCTCAATTTCCTTTACAGTGTGCTTAATGGGCTATGTCCCCGAACCGTGCTGCTGCTAGTGCCATTCTACAGCTAAGCACCGGAGAGGCCCAACGCCACCCTTGCTTCAGGACAACATTCATTAAGACCACAAAGCAGCTGCTGGACACACTGTGCAAACAGCCAGACCCAGCCCATGTGCAAAGGGTGACAGCTGGAGGTAGCGTGTCAATCTGGCAGCCTGTTTAGAGAGACGTGTTCTCATCACAGACATATGAAAGGACAGCTGTACACAGTGTGCACAGCTGTGGGGCTGTGGGTGTTGATTTATTTTTCTTTCTTCTTCTTTTTTTTTTTTTTTTTTTGGTTTTTTGAAGAGTTTCTCTGTGTAGCCCTGGCTCCCATCCTGTAGACCAGAGTGGCCTTGAATATAGAGATCCGCCTGCCTCTGCCTCCCAAAAAGTGCTGGGATTAAAGGCGTGCACCACACTGCACGGCAAAAACAATTTTCTTTTAAGGCATTATTATGTTTAGGACTACATATTTATTTATTTGTGTGTGTGCATGCGCGTACGTGAACATGGCCATGTATGTGTGCGCCATGGCACACGTGTGGAGATCAGAGGACTACTTGTGTGTCTCGGGGATCAATCTCATGTCGTCAAGCTTGGCAGCATGTTCCTGCACCCACTAAGCCATTTCAGGCCCTATTTACTTTTTTGAGTCAGGGTCACCCGTAGCCCAGGCAGACCTCGAACTCACTATGTATCTGAAGATGATATTGAACTCCTGATCCTCCTGCCTCGTCCTCCTGAGAGCTGGAACTGCAGGTGTGAACCACCGTGTGCAGGTTCTATAATATTTCTCAGTACAGGGAAAAGATCATTTTGAAATATCAGTGGCATTAAAATTCCATTGAAATATCAAATCTTAGTTACCATTGACTTCAATCAGGTTTGCGTTTTTTTGATTCAGAATTACATACAGCTCCCGCTGGTCAGACTTCTTCCCAACAACCCAGTAATCGCTCATGGCTTTCACAATGATTTCTTCATCTTCATCTGCTCTGTAAGAGTTTCAGATGGGATAGTTTTATATACTCAGCTCTACTGTGGGGGAAAAAGAACTCAAGACAAGAAATGGCACTAAACTGTCTTCACAAACAGTCAAGAGTTATGTGTGAATGAAGGCAACTTCGTGTGATGTGGGAATAACATCCATGAGTGGGTTGAGCCTGAGCCCTTCCCAGGGGATCTGCGTCACTGGGAAGGCTGAGGCAGGGGGATCTTGAGTACTACCCAGGCTACAGAGTGAAATTTGTGTAAACAAACAAATAAAAAACAAATACAATTCCTTTCAAATCTATTCTCAGAAAGACAGCACCACTTTGAGAAGCGGCTGGAATCACCTGGTGAAGTCACTGTTGATGTCACCTAGAATCTTCATCAGCTCTGGATGGACGGACGTGAGCGACACACTGGGCGTTTTCCTCATGTGAATCGTGCTTTTCTCTGCTAAATTCATGTGGTTGAAGTAGATGAACTTAAACTGGGGTTCTTTCTCAGACCTGTCCAAACAAGACACCGCGGTGTAACAATCTGAAAGAATAATTACCCAACTGCACAGCCACAGTGTGAAACTTTCAAAGTGTCATGTGGCCTTGTCTCAGTAAACAAACAAAACCCAAAAGAATTTTGAACACAACATTCGTGAACTAAAACTGTATGGCAGGGCTGGCACGGTGACCCAGAAAGGAAAGGCACTCGCCACCAAGAAGACCTGAGTTGAAGCCAGGATGCACGTGATGGAAGAGGAGAACTGCCTCCTGAAGAGCACCCTCTGACCTAGACACACTGTATAAAGGTCTTGTGTTTTCCATGGCTGGGTGTTCAAGTCAAGGATCTCAGTGAGGGGGTCTGGAGAGATGCTCAGCA